GCAAGGACATGCAGTGCTGACCAGCATAGGAAAAAAAGAGAACATAGAGGGTTTCACTATCCCAAGATGCCTTGGCACATAGAACACTGAAAGTCTGCAAAAAGGAAAATAATAGGTAAAATTTGGTATATTCAATTCGGCACGCTCTTGATTTCAGATGAGAAAATTAAGAATATGCCAAGGCAGGAATTTAGGCTGTTCAGAGTGTTCACTGCTGCTCTCCATGACAGTGTCCTTGAAGGTCACAGTGAGAGCTGTCATAACGTTAGGTAAGTGACTCCTGCTGAAAGTTGTTTGCGTTCATTTTTCTGAGACCAGCGTTTGACACCTGGAACGCAGCCAGGCCCATGTTTGGCAGTGTCTTCCCCTCCCAATGTTCTGATACCTTGTCAGGGTGAGGCCTTGTCAGGGTGAGGCCATGGCCAGTCGGTCACCTGGCTACACCCCTGGGTGGCCTGGCCCCGCTTCTTCTCAGAATGGTCCCACCTAATCCTGACCCTGATCTGATCATTAAAATGAAGATTCATCCCCATCAAACTCACATAATTAGGATTAACCATTCTTTTCAAATAAAAGCTGAATTGTAATCTTTGACTATGCTAGTTTCTTGATTTTTTTTTTTTTTTTTTTTAATGAGGTAAATGGAAAGATAGCACCTTTTCCTTTTTTGGCAAGCAAGCCATCGTTCCTTAAATTCTTGACGCACCATATGGATTTCTAGATTCTTTTTGTTTTTGTTTCATCAGCTCTTGGTATAGCCTGAGTCATTGAATAATATTAATTATTAGCTTAGCTTTTCTCAAGAAATGTTCACCCCTGTGCCTCCTCATTGTCTTAGTATTGCTTTATAAGGCTTTCCGCAATCACCATATGTGATAGTTTGACAGATATTTTTCTGTTCCTGTTTTCAGTTGTTTGTTTGTTTATTTATTTATTTATTTATTTATTGCAATTTTAGTATTTTCTGATTATTTTTATACCCTTAGGTGGTCTATATGCTGAATAATGTACTTTTCAATTTTTAGCTACTTAACTGTCACTGTGATATACTATATATGTGGAAAATTTAAATACATTGTTAAACAAGAGAACTTTTCCCATCTATATGGTTAATATGAACATAAAGCTCAAGGGCTAGGAATCTTTAAAAGTAATTTATATACTTTTTCTAATTTTAAACCAAGCGCTGAAAATTAATTCTATAGGTTACATGTTTATACCTTCCTTCATCTCTTCTCTAGGAGTTGGTGGGAAGTAAAGGTATGAAGTGAATAGATTTGGGCGGACTAATTAGTAGAATTGGCTGTGTGAGGTATACTGAAGCTGTGTTGATGGACTGACCCAAGCAGGTGAGGCCAGGCCGGCAGGAAGCCCGTGGCTTTGCCAGATTGGCAGAGATGTTAGAAAGCTAGACTTTGGCGATGGGAAGGAGAGTTGCTGGAAAGTCAGGTAAGGGTGCTGACAGGAAATATGAAGTGAGGGGTTTAGAGAATAGTAAGTGGGAGCTAGATTCTCTTGAAAAAGCAGTCCGACTCCAGTGCCAGGAGCTAAAGGGAAGGGTGCGTATGCAGAAATGGGGCCACGGCCTGGGGGGGACATGGCCGACCGGATGGTTGTCCTGGAAGCTGTGGGGCAACGTGCAGTTTCTGGGTACCACGTGGGGGGAGAGGCGTGGGGAAGGCATTGAAGGGGCATGTTGCTACGTTATCATTTGCCTGGTGACAAGCATCCTACAAGCTTAAACTGTTTTCTCCTGCTACTCCTTCGAGTTTACAGTAATTATTTAAAATCTACCGAAGCACAAATTAACAATTGGTTTCACACCATCGTTTCTTGCTAATCTCATCACCATCCCCGCAAAGCAGTATAATCAATTTCCTCAGAAGCATCTTCCTTTGGAGGACTTTGACAGATTGTGTTGAGCACCAAAATTACTGTAGGTGTGCAAAAATAAATTGACTGAGAAAAGTGCTTTAAATCTTGTGTTTTGCAATGGAGTATGCATAATTAAAAAAACAAATCCTCACCCAAGATATGTTTGTATTGACAGAGAGAGAGAGAGAGAGAGAGAGAGAGAGAGAGACACACACACAAACATCAACCTGAGAGAGAAACATCAATCGGTTGCCTCCTGTACATGCCCCCACCAGAGATCAAACTTACAACTCAGGTATGTGCCCTGACAGGGACTTGAACCTGAAGCCTTTGGGATGCTGAACATGCTCCAACCAACTGAGCCACCTGGCCAGGGCTTCGATGGGATATTCAAAGTGAGGGTGATATCAGGTAATTTGAATTTAATTAAAAGTAAAAAAGATTCTATGTGGAAATTTTCACTAAAATCCTGAGGCCACTAAAGCTAAATAGCAATTTATGTAACAATTGACAGTGTCACACGTGAGTCCTAAGAGTAAGTACAATAATTTACATTTCCACTAGCACATACTACTCAGACAAATGGAGCGACCAGTAAGGAAAACCCCACCATTTTGCTTTAGCTCTGGACCTAATTAGGAGAGTCTGAGTCATTTACACACACACAGTGTTTCCTAACTGTGTGTGTGTAAATACATAGAGAAAAATAAGATCTTTGATACTTTTAGAGCATCACTTTTGAGTGATGTCCAGGTAGGTGAATATCAGCTAGGCTAGAATATTTTCTCATCAACCCCAAAGCTGTTAACCACCGGGTAATTAGTTCTAGCTGCTGACCAAGTAAGAGCGCAACACCTGCTGATGAAAACAGAGAGGGAGCCGAGACCGGTTTGGCTCAATGGTTAGAGCGTCGGCTTGGGAACCGAAGGGACCCGGGTTCGATTCCGGTCAAGGGCATGTACCTTGGTTGCGGGCATGTCCCCGGTAGGGGGTGTGCAAGAGGCAGCCGATTGATGACTCTCATCGATGTTTCTAGCTCTCTATCTCTCTCCCTTCCTCTCTGTACAAAATCAATAAAATATATTAAAAAAAAAAAAAAGAAAGAAAACAGAGAGGGAACAATGTTGCCTTTAAATAATTACCAACCGTTTCTTAGCCTCAGGCATAGATGTATTTTGTTTAATATGGAACAAATCATTGAAAGAAGAGACAACATCCTTTGGCATAGTAATAGGAAATTTTGGTATTAACATGTATTCCTGAGGATAGGTTTTCAAGACATGGACAAAACATACTAAGGAAATCTTACATTATTAACTTCAGATTTATTTTTCAAAATATAAATTCATCTTTCATGGCTTAACTACATCCCACTTCCTAAATGAAGTATGTGATTACTACAATCCAAAGATATAACTTCCATCAACCCCTTTAGCTGCAGACCAGCTCAAACCATTCTGTTTGACCAGACCCAGAACCGAAGCTTAAACGTTGGACACAAACTCTTGTGAACCCTTAGAGTGCTACCTGTTAAAACCCCACCCAAATCGTGGATCAAGCAGACAGATCTGAGCCTTACCTCCGGTCTTCTTGCAATCAACCGACAAATAAAGCTCCATTCTTTCCTCTACTGCCATAGCATTGGCTACTGTGTGCTTCAGGCAGCAGACCCTGCCTGATAACAGTCCTAGGTATAGATTGCCTCTACATATTCACACTCCCATATAATCACACTCACTTTTCTCCCCGTTTTCTTTTATTATGGCAATATACACGTGACATAAAATTACCATCTCCACCATTTCAAGTATTATATATAACTCAGGATATTAAGTACATTCATATCTTTGTGCAACCATCCATCTCCAGAATTCTTTCCACCTTGCAAAATTTAAAACTATATGCCCCTTAATTAGTAACTCTCTACTCCCATTCACACCTTTTATTTCGCATAAATGGTTTCCTTTGGTCTTATCACTACAACCACATTGTAAACCTCTTGTGAGGAGCGCCTGTGTATTACTTAGGTATCATACAGATATGGTACTTACTGCCAGGCACTGTTCTGAGTGCTTTGCAAATATTAACTTACATAATTATTCATTTTTTTGCATGTTCCAGAGGGTCTAGCTTGAGCTTTGCACGTGGGAGACCTTAGGTATTTGCGGAATGCATTTCCGTATCCCTTAAGCATTTCCAACTGACTCGGCCTGTTATTCTGGTTGGAAAGATACAAAAGGAGCAGATTGCCCTGGGGTATGGACCTGTGCATCATCTAACGCTAGGTCGCACGTTTTATTTTAGCCTCCTTTAGGCCGGGTACCCGCTAAGAGAAGCTTAGAGGGAAGCTATTTCTGAAGCATAGAGATTACACCAAATGACTTAATGCAGTTAAGGTTTTCCTTTCTGTAGGGACCCTCGGTCGATCCCACAAAGATTCTGCAAAGGATCTCACCATTTATGGATAATAAAGAACATTATAAACTGTTGAACCAAAAGATAGATATAGAGACAGTAAAGCAACAAGCAGACTGTCAAATTACAGCGGGGAGGATAGGGAGATCTGGGGGAGATAAGAGATCAACCGAGGAACTTGTATACATGCATATAAGTACAACCAATGGACACAAAACTCTGGGGAGGGAGGGCATGTATGGGGATGGGGAGGCAATGGTAAGATATGTACACATATAATAATTTTTATTTATTTTTAATTTCACATATAATTTAATAAAAAATAAAAAAATCTAAAAAAATTTTTTTAAAAAGCGATTAAGGGGAAGGTACGGAGATTTTCCATGCACCTCTGTTCTGATACATGCATAGCTTACCCTTATTCTGAATATCCCAGGTTATTCTCTTAAATTCAGATTTATGAAGAATAGTAATTTTATACAGGCTTAAAGTCACTCTTTTTAAGGGTGCAGTTTGATGAATTTTGACAAATGCCTACAGTCATGTAATTATCATTCTAATAAAAACAGAGTATTAAAAAAAAACAAAAACGATTCTGCAAAGGGAAGACCACAGGCTGAGCGGCCCACGCCTGACCCAAGCCTGCGCGCCGGGCGGGGCGGGGCCAGCGGGCGGGGAGGGGCGTGGCCAGCGGACATGGAGGGCGTGGCCAGAGGGCGGGGCGGGGCGGCGCGCGTCCGCACCGGGCGGCGATGGCGGCGGACGGCGACTGGCAGGAATTCTACGAGTTCCAGGCGCCGGCCCGCAGCGCCCCGCGCCGGGAGCACCGTCCCGCGGGCGCCGAGGCCGAGGCCGAGGCCGGGCCCGGGCCGGGCGGGGCGGGCGGCGGCCTCCCGGCGCTGGCGCGCAGCCTGGAGGAGAAGCTGAGCCTGTGTTTCCGCCCCGCGGCGCCGGGCGCCGAGCCCCCGCGGGCGGCCGTGCGGCCCATCACCGAGGGCGGCCTCCTGCAGGGCGACGAGTGAGTGCGGCCGGGCCTGCCTGCCCTGCCCCGGCCCCTGCCCCTGCCCCGGGCCCTGCCTGCCCTGCCCCGGCCCCTGCCCCTGCCCCGGGCCCTGCCTGCCCTGCACCTGCCCGGCCCGGCCCCTGCCCCTGCCCCTGCCCAGCCCCGGGCCCTGCATGCCCTGCCCCTGGCCCTGCCCCTGCCCCTGCCCGGCCCTGGCCCCGGTCCCCTGCCCCTGCCCAGCCCCTGCCCCGGCCCGGCCCGGCCCCTGCCCCTGCCCCTGCCCCGGCCCAGCCCCGGGCCCTGCCTGCCTCTGCCCCCGGCCCCGGCCCCGGCCCCGGCCCCGGCCCCGGCCCCGGCCCCGGCCCCGGCCCCCGCCCCGGCCCCGGCCCCGGCCCCGGCCCCGGCCCCGGCCCCGGCCCCGCCCGCGGCCCGGCCCGCTGCCGGCGGCGCCCCGGCGGCAGGCCCCGCCCCGCGCCCTCCTTCCTCTCCTCCGCCCGAGGCCCCGCCCTCCGCGCTCCTCGCTCCCTCCCCGGGCCCTGGGCCCCTGGGTGCCCCCTTCCCCACCTTCCACCCCCGCCTCCTGTCCTGAAACCAGCCCCGGTTTGGGTTAGAGGGAATCTCTTGTGGAGCTTTAGTTAGAGGCAGTGCCTGCTCGGGCACAGGTGTAGCCAATCATTCATTCAGCCAGCCAGCCAGCCAGCAGTTACCGGCCCGTTAAACGCCCAGGCTGCTGAGCACCGGGCACACCTACCCTCCCAGGAGGGCACCACCCAGGCTGGGAGCTGGATTTGTAAACCAGTGTTTGTCTGGGCGTGACAGATGCACTAAAGGGTAGATGTGTAAGATTTAGGAGATTTAAAAGTGTGTGTGTGTGTGTGTGTGTGTGTGTGTGGTAGGGAGTCAGGAAAGACTTAATGGAGAAAGAAGAGGGAAGATTGGATCCTGATGGAGAGGGATGGGAGTTTGCTTGGCAGGTGAAGGAAGGGTTAGCGTCCTCGCTCGAGGGTGCAGCACGTGCAGAGGTAGCGGTGCTGAGGCGGCATTTAAGCCACAGCCATGCATTGGGCCCACCTGACAGCCAGCTATGGCGCAGGCTCCAGAGGCCGAAAAGCAGAGCTGTGGCTGTGAGTCGCTGGGATCTTCCATTCCAGTGGGGAAGACCAATACATAAATAAGTAATTATTACCGAATTATGTAAGTGCGGTGATGGGGGATTCACAGGGTTTTAGGAGAGCTGGGAGAAGGAAGGGATGGAGTTCCTGGGGGCACTTTATTTAGCCACTTAGAATCCCAATGATAATTTGGTTCAATAAGGGTTGGGATTAGGTATGACGGGACCAAAAGGGGGTTAAAAGTGGCGGGAGTGAAAAAACTTGAGCAAATGGTAATGTCAGGGAGAGGTGCCCCCAGAGGCTGTGGGTGAAGTTACTGAAGGGAATAACTGAGGCCGTGGGTGTGGACGGGTTTTCAGAACATCGGTGGGAGGGAGAGCAGAGTCAGGGAAGAATTCTCGTGGGATACAGCTCCACGGGCTTAGAAAGGGGCTCCTGACTTGGTGATCTTTGCTCTCTGAGGCAGATGGTCAGCAATAAGGTAGGAAGCTTGAGAATGGGGATGGGGGTGGGGGTAGGAATGGGTGCCTGTGAGCATGACTGAACTGTGGTTTGGGCCCAGCTGTATTTGGAGATTATATCTTTTAATGTTACTTGTGTACAGTGTTTGGGTGGAATTTATGATTAGATGTTGTACCCAAAGATATGCACTCAGTGGCAATATATGACATTAAAAAATTCTGTTGCCAAAAAGAAGATAGTATTAAGTGTGTAGGTATACCTGTCTATATAATGTAATTTGTATATGTATGAATCACTGGACTCAGGACATATCCTGGATTTATTATGAGTTTGGGTTTATCAAGAGTAACTTCTCAAAACGGATTAGTGGTTTGTACACAGATAAAGTTCCTTATTTTTGTTTCACTTGTACTGGCTGGAAAGTAGTGAGTTTTAGCCTTTGCTTACATCTTAGGATGATGTAAAACTTAAAAACAATCTTACTCTTGAAAACGGTGTTTGGTAGATGATACGTTGGTAATGTGTGTGGCTTGACCTAGGAATGCGTGAGGAATCTCTCTCTTTCCGGGGCCTGTGCTGGTTGCTCTCATTATCCCCTTTCTATTGCACACATCTGCTTTGCATTGCTCGTTAAGAGTCCATTTCATGCTCCTTTCCCCAGGGAGCTGAGAATTCTTGCTCTCAGGCATTGCCTTGAATATCTTCGGGCATGTTGTTGAACTTTTCTGCGCCCCAGTTTTAGTTTTGGTTAAACACAGGGATTGCACTCACCTGCTAAGGCTTTACACCCGAAGGGTCTCGGGGAGGACTCCGTGTCGGTGAGACTTTGACCTTGGAAAGAGCTGTCTCGCCGGTTGTTTATGACTGCTCGTAATACTTGGCGATAAGGATGAAGGCAAGGCCTGTCCTAACTGGAGAATTCTAGAAAACTTGCACTTCAGTGGGGCCGCCCTACTTCCTTCCAGCTACAGTTGTTCTGACCTTGGTGGAGATAGGGGACTATTGATTGTCCTGCCCCTTCTGGACAGATCACATTCAGGCATAGTCACTAGGTGAGTATCCAGTCCGCTGGTCCTTTAATCACAGCCTCCTGGATGGGAAGGGGCAAACAAGCCGTTTCCCCAAAACCCTGGCCTTCCTTCACCTTCTAGAACATCCTCCTGGGGTTTCTGACCAGGGTTAGGTGTTATAGTCAGTGATTCAGCATTTGAAAGTCTCGTACCCAGGAAGGCGCGGGCCTCAAACCCAGCACATGTCACGGTCCAGAAGGCTGCTTCCAGCGTGAGTGTGTTGGCAGGAGAGGCAGCAGAGAGGGGAATCGGAGTGAGCCAGGCATATGGGGGATTTGCTGGGTAAACAGGCCAGTTTTCCCGAGCCTTTGGGTTTACATTTTCAGTGAGGCTAATGGGAGTTCCAAAGCCAAAAACATCATGTCGGGATTTTATGGTTTTGGCAATGATGGTCCTATTGCTTCATCTCTTAGCACCAAATCCCAATGCATTAAATCAAGCGTGTTGCCGCTTTGTTTTGAAGCTTGTGTTCTTATTTCTAGGCCTCTAGTGGTCTGGCTTTTGTATCTTAATGGCTCACACACTTGTAAATAACCCCCACCTAATTATGTCATGGCTTATTCACAGTTAGATACCCATTATACATGTTAGGGTGTGTTTTTTTTTTTCTTTAAGACATGTATGTGCATACCTCTAGCTGGCAAGTAGCTCATAGATGTAATGTTTAACTTCACTTCAATTAAGTTTCATGTCATTTATATCTCCGAAGTCAGTGTTTTTCGTACAAGGTCATGTTTTATTATGCTGGTGATTACCTGGGTACCGAAGCCTGCCTTTTGGTCGTGAAATTGGAGTTCGCTGTCCTTATCTAGCGTGCTTTGGGACTCAGAACATCTCATCTAAATGAATGTTTAGAGTAATTGAGCTGGAAGGGATGTCTGTTTCTTGTTCAAGCCTCTCATTTTATGGGAGGGAGGCCAACAGAGAGGTTAGAGGACGTGGCCAAAGACTCGTCTGAGGAAGAAGATGGATCCTGAGTCTGTTTTCCTGGATGTTGGTCAGGTGCTCTGTTGCCTCCCACACGTGCTGCTGGAGGTGGGGTGACTGCACTCACTGCACCTGTGTGGATTACATTTGAGCTCCCTTTCTTTCCCCTTCCATTTTATCAGTTTTAATCCTTAGTCTCTTATATTACAAATCAGATATTTAACCCTGACCTAACATTACAACCGAATCCTTTCCCCCCCCAGAAGGGATAACAGATCCGATAGAGAGATTATTTACTCTATGAAATGGTCTATATATTGTTTGAAACTTGTAGAAATTTAAAGCAGAGTGTATTTACTACCAGGCTGTAATGACTTAACTTCCCTGTGCTTTAGTCTCCTTGTCGGTAAAATGGGGGGATAACGGTTCTTCATTATACTGGCTTTTTAAAATATTGATTTGACAGAGAGAGAAAGAGAGAGGAAAACATCGGATTGGTTGCCTCCTGCATGTGCCCTGCCTGGGGATCGACCCCACAACTTCTGGTGCAGGGGCTGATGCTCCAACCAACTAAGCCACACAAGCCAGGGCAGCATTGCTGTTGAGAAGTGAGTTATATGTAAGTTGTGTAGAATAGTGCCTGGCACACGTTACTGTGGAAAGTGTCAGTTATCAGCCTGGGAGAGTTTTCCATTTCACTCCACCTTCCCTCAGGACTTCTTGTCAGCCAATTACCTGGTTTTCATTTAGTCCTACTTAGGGTGCTCTGCTTTGTTGATGTTTTTCTGAGAAACAGTGGGCCTTTTTTTCCCTTTGATATTTTTTGGTTTCTTCCACGGTGGTACTGGATATTTATTTAGTAAAAGACGTAGAGAATACTGTCATTGACTGTAGTTTTCGTCCTTTAAGGATCTGGAACGCCCTGACCGATAACTATGGAAACGTGATGCCCGTGGACTGGAAGTCATCCCACACCAGGACCTTGCACCTGCTCACTCTGAACCTCTCGGAGAAAGAGGTAAATCGGAATCGGGCCAGTAGTTTCTTCATAACCAAGTCTGATGATGGAGCTAACACGGGGCATTGTAGGATCCCTTAACACGACCTGCGTGGTTCAGGGTCCGGTTTCTGGAGAAGGCCGCACACTAAAATGAAGAGACTGGAAAAGGGTTAATTTGGGAAAATGGGGGGCCAGGCGGGAGTACCACCTGGCTCTGGCCTTGCTGTCCCTTTTATTGAGGCTATGGGATACATCCAGTACCCTTAAGCAGCTTTGAGAGACATCCATAGCCCTTAGGCAGGTAATAAGCGGATTATCATACCAGTAAGGATTTACATGATTACAAGATGGGGAAGTTGCCTCAGTTACTATTGTCTCAATTAGATAGGTCATGGTTTGCTCTGACCTTTCAGAGCTTCAGGGTTGACCAGCCCTTTACATCTTTTTATTAGTGAGACAATAATTGGTTTCCGGCAGAGCATTTCTGTTTAACCAACATGCATGAGTGGCCTCTTATTTCCAAGCAATTGGACTGGCCCTCTGTTGCTATAACCCACTTATTAGCACATCCCTCCAGTTCTTCCCCAGCACACACTCCCTTTCTTATGTTTACCTAAATTCTCATCACCTGTGTATGAGCATCAATAACCCCGCCTGTTTTTTCTCCCACCTTTAATACAATGTTGATTAGCTGAGAACACTCAGCAGCGAGAATCCTAGCCTTTGGCTTAATACACAGTCATGTGCTACTTAGTGATGGGGATGCATTCTGAGACATGTGTTGTTAGGTTTCCTGTCGTGTGAACATCATAGAATGCCCTCCCACAGACCTGTGTGGTATGGCCTGCTGCACACCTTTGCTCTAAGGCAGAGTTTCCCAAACTTCTCTCATGATGAGAATCACCTGGTGGAGTTGTTAAAGTACCACTAAGAAGTGCTAAACCAGAATTTTGGGGAACATACAGGTAAAATTGTATACTTAACTTAGTGCTCTGTCTTAGATTGTATACTAGTTAAGTATACAATTTTACCTGTATGTAAGTTTGGGAAACACTGCTCTAAGGTATGGCCTATTGCTCCTAGGCTGCCAGCGTGTGCAGTATGCTGCTTTATGAAACAACACAGGACTAAATCCAGCACAAGAGAAAATGGTGTAATTAAGAGACACAAGAAACGTGAGATGTATGAGGTATAACCTGGCACACTGATTTACAGCAAACATTTTTTTTATAATTAGAAAGAATATGCTCTAAAATAACGATAAAAAGTATACTGCAGTAAATATGTAAACCAGTATCGTAACTGTTTATTATCATAATCGGGTAATAGTACAGGTCATGATTATACGTGCTGTATTTTTATACAGCTGGCGGCACAGTAGGCTTCTTTACACCGGCATCTCCACAAACACCCGAGTAATGCGTCACTAGGCAACAGGGATTATAATCTCAGGGGACCACTCTGGTCTGTGCGGTCAGTTGTTGACCCAAACATTGTTATGTGGCCCGTGACCGTGTTGAGGTACTGGAATATCAACCGAGCTAACTTTTTGATGAATTTAATGGCTTGCTTGTTGCCCAAAGGCTACGCATTGGGGATATTGGGGAACCTTGGAAAGTCGTTTCTGTTCTGGGCTTTTCAATGTGTTCTTGGCTAACTGAGGCTGCTGGGTTTGCCTGGTGTGATAAAGCGAAGATGCCTGAGGAAGGAAAATGAGCGCAGGTGATAAGGCAGCAAGGGGGACAGAAGAGATAATTGCGTTAAGTGGAAAATCACCATGTTGGTTAAGCCGAGGAGAAGCGTAGCTACGTTCTGTCCGTTTCAGGGCTGGCTGTTTAATTCCTCATCAAAGAGCAGTGCACACCCAGGCCGGACATTGTGGCATGCTCCTATTTCATTAGTATGTTTGTGCCACTATTGGGGGCTTAATGCAGCAAGCCTGCCCGTATGTTAAGTGGTATTGTTAAGGTTTTGTGAAAATGGTTTCTTACACATGTGATTCAGAAGAGCTTGCTGCCCAGTATTTTCTAGTAAAATACAGAATCCCAGTACAATACTTCCCAGTTGTCAAGTAGTTGTGGAATTCTTACTGTTTGTGCTAATTATTGACCCCATTAGGCTGTTTCACAGACTGACCTGACATACATGTAATAAAAAGGAATGCAACCAAATACCTTATGCTCTGTCTTCTGTTTATTTAGAACGGAGCTATCATTTTGGGCTTAGTTCCAAGTTTCCCTTCCTCTCTGAAGCTTCCTATTAGCGATGTAGCCTTTGCTGACCTCATGGAATTACGATTTTAGACTCGAAAGGAACTTGAAAGAACACTTAATCCAACCTCTCACTTGGGGGGAATCCCCATCTGCAGCATGTCTGACAGATGGTCAGTTAGCCATGGCCTGAATCCTTGTACAGAAGGCAAATGCACTCCTCTCTGTGGGAATCTGTTACACTTGTGGGGTGTGAAAACCCTACAGAACCTACTGGTGCCATAGAAATTGTCTCCTAGGTACTAGTCCCCACAGACTCTGCTCCTGTCTCAAATCACTATTGTGTTCCCTTATTAATCATACTAGAGGTGTATTCATGCACCAGTGGGGTCCCTGGGCCTGGCCTACACCCTCTTGAAATCCAGGACCCCTTGAGGGGTGTTGGAGGGCTGGTTTCGGCCTGATCCCTGCAAGCCTGGCTGAGGGACCCCACTGGTGCACAAATCCATGCACTGGGCCTCTAGTGTGCATATGAGATCTTTGGTTAATCTCTTGCTACCCTCCCCACTTCCCTCTGAGATTCATTAATCTTTTCCATGTTTCCATCCGTGGCTGTGGTTTTGGCTCCTGCACTGAGCATCTGCTCCTTGGTGGTCAGTGTGCATCATAGGTCCTGGCCCGTCGGCTGGTCGCTTAGACTTTTATATATATAGCAGGTCCTCGGGTTACGTTGGAGATCCATTTCCGCAGTGCGATGTAATGTGATTTTCACCAAAAGTTCGCTATATGCACCTATGTCACTCACATGGGACACATACACAGAAGGGAAACAGTAAAAAAAAAATTTAAAAGAAAAATAGCAATTCCTGACCTTTACTTGTGGTAAATAAATAATAAAAAACATAAAGCACATATGCTGAAATGACGGAACTTTTTAAAAAAATAAAAAAATGGGAGATGGCGACATAACCATGAAACGACATACATGGAGTCTGACGTAACCCGAGGACTGCCTGTAGAGATGTCTCTGGGCTGTCATGTGACCTCCTTGTGATGTCTTTGTATTTTTCTCCTTAGTAACTACCACTGTGCCTGGCATGTCGTCAGCACTAAGACAAGTGTTTGTTTACCTCCTGGAAGCATTCTTTGGATTATTCCAATTGTAAATGAAGGCCCATCGGAAATTATTTTGACAAAGGGGGAAGAAATTTGCTGGATCTTTAGGCATCTAGTACAGTCCAAATTCTTCTGTGGGCACATTATTTTCCATCTGAGGCAGCTTCCTTTTCACAGGGAGACGGCACCACCTGCTCTGATGCTGGCACTGAAGGAGTGATGTTTGGCATGCATGGCAAAGAGAAGGCGCGTTTGTGCTGAACGGGAGAGTGAAGAATGATACCCATGAAAGCCAAGGGTAGCTCCCCAAGTCCAAAAGGGATTCCAGCCCTTAACATATGTCATCTCTGTGTGGGAGTGGGCCTAGCGCTCTTTCCGGAATGATGATCCAGGATCATTATCTCTGTTGTCATGGAAATTTGTTCTTACAGCTTCCTGGTATCACTCACATGTTTGGCAATAGCTGTAAACTTATTCTAAATACAGGGACTTCTTGATCATGCTTATATATAGAATGCTTCTGAGTCATTTGCCTCAGGAACATCTGTGCCATCCTTCCCCCACCATGAACATTTTTTCAAGGCCTTCAGCTTTGTTTATGCACTTTCTATCTTTAAGGCTGGAAACAGTAAGAAGATAATAATCTTCCTTAGGAGTAATTTTCAAATTAAAAAACTTTCATTTGTCTGTAAGGGACAACTTATCTATAAGAGGGAAAAATAAGACAAAACTGTGGTCTTCAAGTTACAACATAGAAAAGTGGTGGGAGGGGGAGAGCTGTTACATTTAAAGGTCAGTGAAGGGAATTGTTATGTCTGCTCCATATCATCCATGTGTCATTGTGATCACACTGTGGAATTTTTCATCTCCATGCCTCCTCTCTCATCAAGAGCCTAATCTCTTGACCAAGTATGTCAAACACAAAGGCTAACGTGAGCCTGTGGGCTGCGAGTTTGACATGTTTGCTCTTGACCTTCTTACTTAAAAGAATAACTATTATAGTTTAAAAAGTAGGACTTAACATGGGAAAGCACCCTCTGCCCTGCTTACCCCAGATTTGTTCCCACTTGCCAGAGGCGACCACTTTCAGCTACTTCACCTATTTCTTCTAACAGATAACATACTCATCATTTTTTTTGACTTTTCAATTCCCAGAGGATGAGGGTTTAGCTCTCTCATGGTCCTCTCTCTAACCCCAACACCATAGTCCTTATAAAAATTTACCTTTCCCCTATCTTTCCAATATATTTACATCAAAACATTGGGTTAAACTAATTGCCATTTATATTGATTATTTAAATATTTACAGGTGACCCATTTTACTCTATGATTAAATTTTCATTTGTAATTTTTTTTTTCCTTAGGGTAACTTTAATTGGCTTTTTTTGATTTATTTAGGTTATCAGTAGCTCACTAATTCAACCTCAACAAAGCCATAAAACTAATTTTAGTAATTGAAATAACTAGATAATCAATAGGTCTCTTTCCCCTCTCTTTTTCTTAATGCTTTTCTTGATGCCCTCAGCAGTTAACAATTCTAATCTGAACTAGTTACTCTAGTTTAACTTCACAGCCATCATTCTGGGATCTTCACTATCATTACCAGAATTCCTTTCACCTCTTTCATGTATTTTGGTTTTCCTCCTCGTTTTAATGGAGCATATTCTGCAGTAGCTTCCCGAGAAAAGGCACATACACGGGAAGTCATTTTTTTGAGAACTTGAATGTCTGAAAATGTCTTTATTCTAAATCCTCACCTAGTTGTTTAGCTGGGGTTCTAGGGTGGAATTAATTGAAATGCAAAAATTATATTCATTGTTTTCTAGCTTCTGTTGTTGCTGTTGAGAATTGAAGTGACATTTGACACCTGGTCCTTTTAATGTGACAGATTTTCCCCGCTGGAAGCTTTGAGGTTCTTTCTCTCACACAGTGTTCTGAAACTTCCCAGTGATATGCAGAAGGCCGAGGCCAGGCCTCCTAGGCTGACGGGGCATTGAGAAACAGAATGAGCAGGTGTGCCCTCCCTGTGGGACGGCGTGGAGCTGCTGTCTGCGGGAGGAGGTAGAGCCGGGAGTGCTGACGGCTGCTCTCCCGGCCTCGGGTTCTGAAGGGCAGCCCACCTGTGTCCCTTCGCGTGCCTCACGTGCAGGTTTCTTACTCTGTGGGCCTCGTTCACCACGAAACTCCCCACAATCCTGTACAAGGAACTGGGGAGGAAGGAGGGAGCTCCAGTATTCAGTTGTATCCTCTATTTTATGTGTATTCTCTGCAGTAGGAAATAAAATAACCTTCCCAGGTAAAGTACTATTTTTAGAATTATGTGCTATCTGATAGAAACACATGGTTGCTTCTTACATAGTTCATTTCTGCCCATTTGCTCTTTGGGAACTCAGTGTGTGCTACTCCTTGAAGAACAGAGTTCTAATTTTGGGTCTTTCCTCACCTGAACAGTCATGTTACGTAGGTGACAGGTAGATGATCACGTGTGCATGTTAACCTGCTGAGTTTTCCAGGCGAGGTCTTTACAATGACTACCAGTACTAAACTCTAAGTCATTAAAAAAGGGGCTGTTTCTTTTGGTATGGACAGGGTTCAGGGACACCAACTAGGCCTGGTGTGATGCCCCAGGCTGCCAATAGCAAGCATACCAGCACCATCTGGCATGAAGAGTTCAAGAGGGAGAGGAGTTACCAGATGCTGGAGAGAGAGCTGCTTGACAGGAGCTGCGGCCATTGGTCTGGCAGCAAGGGAGTCAGCAGTATGAACGCCCTGCCCTCATCTCCCCACTCTCAGTCTCCTTAGTGTCTGCCAGCGGTCTGTAACCCCGGAAGCCTGATGTTCCGGGCATCATCTGATGCAGTCTTCAAATGTCGGCCTGCTGGGGCACAGAGCGGCATGGAGAATGGAGGTGGGGCAGCCTCCACCACAGTCAGGTGTAAACATGTTTGGAGCCCAGAGATCCTCTTTGTTGTTTGGAAGAAGAGATGCGCAGCTGACAGGGCCAAGTGCGACCCTCACGGGCAGTTCCTGTCTGCCAGGGAGCTGATCACCCAGGCTTTCCTCTGGATGCTAGAAGTTAGTTTGCAAGTAATGATGTTTTCTGTGGAATGCTAATGTATACCCATCTTACTCTGAGGTTGTTAACTAAATAACTCTTGCTGTCTACTCCGCATTTGCTGTCATTGTCATTCTCTGCAGCTTCTAGCTAATGCCCTGTCCCTCTTTTTGTACTCATCAGCCAGCTTTGGTAGCAACCTCTCTCATGGGAAAAACAGCTGAGTGTGTGTCTGTGATGGGCACCATGGGATGCTTGCAGCCCTTAGCAGTTTCATAGTTCCTTATTCTGTGTGGCTCATTTGCGTTGGAGGGGAATGTGTAAAGCTCTCCACTCGCTGCCTGGCACAGAGCAGCTGTGATAATTTCTCCCTCTGGAGGGGGCGTTCTCAGCTGATGCTTCCTCTGCCGTCGTCTTTACCCAGACCCAGAGGTCCGGCCTCTCATCGTGCGTTCTTCTGCTTTTAGGTAAGTGACAGCCTGCTCTTGGATCCATCAGACGAGGAGGAGTTGAGAGAACAGCTGGACATGCACTCGATCATCGTCTCCTGTGTTAACGACGAGCCCCTCTTCACTGCGGATCAGGTACCGAGGAGGTTCCAGCGAAGGGAGAGGGAGCCCTGAGCTGAAACAGGATTTGTTACTGTGGCCACAGGTGATGGGTTGTGGGAATTGACTTGTTTTTCCTGTATTTTCTGCTTATGTAGCTTAATAGTTGGCCCTTCCCCCGAGAGGAGAAGAAAGTCTCTCAGCTCTGAAGCAGGTGGGATTATGGGAGTTGGAAGATTTTCCAATATAGGCAATTTCCCATGCTAAGCATTGTTAAAACAGGACAGCGAGTTACTAAGGGAGGGTTATTGCTTATACTGAAATCGCAAAAAATATTGTGATTTTCTTTTTTCGTTAGATCTAGCCTACATTATATAGGTAATTTATAATGTATCTGTTAGACATCATCTTGTTTCTCCCCCAGACCGGTGCAGAAGCGCTGGGTGGACATGCTGTGTGCTCTGGAGAGAAGTGGGCATTATGCCTATGGAATGCACTATAATGTCAGCCCTGTATTCATTTAGAACCAGTCGAATCAGCTCGCTCATTCTCCAAATACTCTTCCCACCTCCTTTGTGTTGTCAAAATGCCATGCAAAAACTTCTTCCTGAAACAAGCGTTCCATGGCCACTTGGACGTGACTTCTATCACACGGTATTGTTAGGCCAGGAAAGCAAGGTCAGGCAAGAGAGAGAGATGTTATGTTCAGGTTGGGAGTCATTAAAAATGTGTCATTTTGATGCTCCTTAGCCATATTTGGATTGTTCTAGGCCCGGGGAGAGAGTGAAGTGTTTAAAAAGGAATAGGTTAGAGGGCTGAGTGGGGTTGTGTGAGATATTTCAGGGAAACGTGACCCCGAGAATCACCGACTCCTCGGGCATCTTTGTGCATGCCACAGGCTTCCCTGCTTTTAGGAGTTAGAGAAGCAGATGGCACAGCCTAGCTCAGCACTTCCTCAGTGCCCGTTTTTGGAAAATATTCTTGCTAATTGACATACTTCCCACCTCCTTCAGGTTTACTTTTGTGCTTCCTTATTATAAGTGTTACATGTTGATTCACATTGTATTTTTTCTAATGTTTTATTTTAAATTCTTAGGTCTTTTTTTTCTTCTAACGAGTGATTTATTTATTTATTTATTTATTTTTTTACATTTTTCTCGAGTTTTATCTCTTAACTTTAAAATCTGGAACAGGAGAAGATGCTGTTGTAAACTTTGAACAACATTGCTTATGACAATAGGCAATTGCTTAAATTAAGGCAGATAATATTTCTTTTAAAAATACACTTTTATTGATTTCAGAGAGAGGAAGGGAGAGAAGAGAGACATAACAATGATGAGACTCATTGATCAGTTGCCTCCAGGCATGTGCCCTGACCAGGAATCAAACTGTGATCTCCGGGTTCATAGGTCGATATTCAGTCACTGAGCCATGCCTACCCAGCAAGGCAGATATATTTCTGAAAATTTTCTGCTTCTGTGCAGCTTTCTTTATTCTCTTTAATCTTTTGCATTTTAAGTAACTTTATGTCCCTTCACCTTCCATTGAATTAATATATGAAAATTTTTTCCTGCTAATGTTAGAGGAGAATTTTGCTGCTTACAGAGGTAATTTCTGGCTTTGTACGTAACTTCCTTATACGGTTGTATTGTCTAAAATAATTGTACGTCAACTTGATGAAACGGCGTTAGGTTGAGCACTTGCTTGTGGTAGGCGATGTCTTTTCTGTCCTTTCCTTCTGTCTGACTGTCACTGGGATCTGCTTCCAGCATGTCTGAAGTGAAGGGTGCATGTGTGTGCAGCACCAGCTCCCAGACATGGCAAGGCCTGGCCGGGCCTCCCGACTCGCGATGGGCACAGTCAGTCACATCCTACCTGTGTGTGCTCAGCACATGGTACTTTTGTGGGTGAACCGTGTTCATCTTTACAACCCAACGTGGCTACCGAGAGTGCCCACTCCTGCGCACGGCTGGTCAGTGGGGGAGTCAGTGCCCCTCTGCTCAGGGGGCCTCCCGTGCGCACCGTGTGCGGGGGTCCACTGTCCGTGTCTGTGATTAACGGTGGCGTGTGCATTTTGGAAGGTTATTGAAGAAATCGAAGAGATGATGCAGGAGTCACCTGACCCGGAAGACGACGAAGCGCTCACACAGTCCGATCGGCTGTCCATGCTCTCCCAGGAGATCCAGACTCTGAAGAGGTCCAGCACAAGCAGCTACGAAGAGAGTAAGAGACCCTCCTTAACTCAGTGCTCTCTGTGCTTTTCCGTACATTTCACACGTGGTGTGGCTGTCCCCGGCAGTCTTTGATGCTCAAGGCTGGGTGGCGAGGCCTTCTCCGCTTTCCACTAATGCTTGGGCATGTTTTGACCAGGGACTAGGTCACAGTCACCTTTGAATCCTGTGTCACTCAGCTCGGGCTGCTGTAGCAAAGCACCGCAGTCTGGGAGGCTGAGACAGACATTGTGTCCTCACCGTTCTGGCTGCTGGAAGTCCCAGCTCAGGGCGTCAGCAGGGCAGGTCTCTTCTGAGCCTCTCCTGGGCCTGCAGAGGCTGTCTCTCTCTGTCCCCTCCCGGCCTTGCTCTGTGAGCATCTCTTAGTCTCCGTTCATAAGGGCATCGGTCCCGCTGGATTAGGGCCCACTCTCAGGACCTCATTTTCAGTTAATTCTCCCTGAGGCCCCTCCTCCAGAACAGTCACAATCTGAGAGGTGCTGGAGGTCGGGACTTGTGTGACATCCTCTCTCTCTCATGAGGGGATGGCCGAGAAAAACTCACATGGGGTTCCAGTGCATAGTCTTCCTTTGGTCTTCGCAGTACTCAGTAACATGCACACACTGGGGCCTGTGTGATTAAACATGCATTCAGTTTAACTTTCACACGGACGTCTCTCTCCAGAATCGCGCCGGAACCCTGCGAACCTGCTGGCGGTTTCTTGTCAGCAGGCAGTTTCTGCACTCCGTCGGCTTTTCCCTGTGCTCGTTCTTTCCTTCGTACAATATTTTCAGTCTTGATTGATGATGGATTTAGACAAGTAAAAAAGTTTCTTCTCAGCCCTTTGAGAAGTAACTTTGCCCACCTACTCCTATGTTACACCTGCCCACGAGAAGTTTGAGGATTCTGAGATCACCAACAGTTAATTGTTTAACATGGGTGGGGAACCTTTTTTCTGCCAAAGGCGATTTGGATATTTATAACTTAATTCTCGGGTCATACAGAATTATCAGCTTAACAATTAGCCTGCTGTATTTGGTCAGACATTTAAGTAACTCACCCCGAAGGCCTAGGCAGGGGTTATTGAAGCAATGACTTTGTGGACCTCGTCTGGCCCGCGGGCTAGAATGTGGCATTGCCCCTGGGCATGAAGCACTGCTGTGCCCACCGGAAACATTGGTGCCTCAGCGTCTGCTGTGCTTCCTTTGGCCACAGGGGTGAAAAGGCTCCCGGTGTCTGAGCTCAATGAACTCCTGGAGGAAATTGAGACCGCCATTAAGGAATACTCGGAAGAGCTGGTGCAGCAGTTGGCCCTGCGAGATGAACTGGAGTTTGAAAAGGAGGTGAAGAACAGCTTCATTTCTGTCCTCATTGAAGTGCAGAACAAACAGAAGGAGCACAAAGAAACAGCCAAGAAAAAAAAGAAACTCAAGAACGGCAGCTCCCAGAACGGGAAGAAGGAGCGAAGCCACGTGCCCGGCACAGTAAGTGATGTTTTACAGGAGGCATGGCGCCGTGGAAACGGTTTCCATGGCGATCCCAGCTTTCCAGGCAGCTCCGGGGGCGGGCACAGGTCCAGGAGTGGGGCGCTTCTCCCCAGAGTGCTGATGGGATTCTGCTCAGGACCACCACTGGGTGCAGCCCCTCCAGAGGTGTTTTCCTGGGGAAGGCCTAATGCTTATCAGCCTGATCCAGTTCTGACATGTTTAGGAAAGAAGTAGAAGGAAGAGGCAGAATAAAAAAAGGCTGGGCTTTCGTTTGTCCCAAAGAAACAAAGCTTTAGAAGTGACCATTTTAATACATCAGAATATTGTTGGTGCTTACTTATGTTGGGCTGGTGCATTGATGAAGGGTGTTTTTTGTTTTTTTGGTTTTTCTCTTATTTTTGCTTCTCTCTTATGGGCTGTAGAAAAAAAATGAAAAGGGGGTGGGTACATTGAGAGGTAGCCGAGCTGTGCTGAGCCTAAAAGCACAGATTGGCTTGGAAACAGTTACCTCCTGATTTGTCAACCAAGTTGGAAACTTGATAAACTGGAATATTACTGATTGGTGAAAACAAGTTTGGAGTATTTGATTCTTTGAGTCTGTATATTTTTTGTTTCCTGCTTTTTCATTTTAAATAGTAATCCTTTTAATTTCACTTGATTAAAATTTATCATAAATATAACAGTCAATTATGAGATGTATTTCCTTATTGATTTTATGCTCTTTCATCTTGCTATGACCAGTTGAGACCTTGTGTATTGCCCCTTCATTTTGTTTGTGTGAAAGAATGTTAAGTTTTACTTTTAAAGTCTAATGATTAGACAAAGGGATCCATTTTTCTAAAGGGCACATACCTTTTATGGTATTGATAACATGGCAATGCAAATCACCACCACAAAGCAGCTATAATGATTTGTAATAATAGAAATTCTGTCTTTAAGTCTTGATTTGCTATTTCTAAAGAAAAGCTATCGGAGCGATAGATCTCCCGGGCCACATGCTGATGGAATCCAGGAAAGAGAATGCTGTCTGGGTTGCTGGGCCACCAGGGAGCAGTAATACAAACAAATTGAATCTTACCATATATAGCCTATTCATTGTACTGTGTTTGGCCTGTGAGTAAATGGGTGTTTTCTTACTGTAATGTCTATCTGTACATATAACAGATATAACTTGTAAACTGACATTGAAAATGTTAAAGGGTACAAAATATTTTCAAGAAATGGCAATATTGACAGCATAGGTGTTTGATCACTTCCATTGACTACTCTTGGAAAAAAGATACTAAAAAACCCCCAAACATTTATTTTAATACACAATCATGGAAAGTTTGCTTTAGAATATCAGGGACAAATATATCTCTTACTTAAAAAATTGCACCCTTTACATCACCCAATTATACAAATATGATTAATAAAATACTCAGTGTAAAGGTTATATAGCATGGTTGGTGATTTCTGCCTGTCTGCTTTTAGGGATTACATGTAAATCCTCTACTTATTGGTGCTGACACTTGGATTCAGAAAATAAATTTATCCCCAAAGGGGTGTAAAGGTTGCTTCTTATAACTCCCATATACAAAGGGTTAGAGCGGATTCACTGTGTAATTTTACTTGGCATTTGTATTGAGCAGTTAGGTCTTATTTGAACCTTTATTAGTCTGGAAATAGTCATAGTAACAGTAATTGTTAAATATTTGAACTTGTGAAGTTCCCTCTTGAATCCTGATCTATTTGTTCAAAATCTTTAATCTTTAAGGCTAGGGATGGCATTGCTAAGCTTGTGGCACTCTAGCTTCTCGAACCTAAAATGCCAGAGAAAGACCGTCCCATCTGTGACAAAAGGAGCCTGAAACCTGGGGTTCGGAAAATAGAGGTGGGGCTCAGAGAACCCAGAAGTGAAAGGGTCAGTTGGAGAAAGAGAGCCCCAAGGTGCTGCCTTCCCAGACATGGTATGTACCTGCAGTGTTGGCAAGGCGGATCTCTGTGCCTTCGCTATTGTCAGTGATACTAAGTCTAACAATTGGTAGCGTGCCCAGCTGGTGTTGCTCAGTGGTTGAGCATCAACCTATGAACCAGGAGGTCATGGTTCAGTCCCAGGTCAGGCACATGCCCTGGTTGCGGGCTCCATCCCCAGTGTGGGGCAGGCAGGAGGCAGCCAGGCAGTGATGCTCTCTCATCGATGTTTCGCTCTTGCTCTCCCTTCTCTCTGAAATCAATAATGGTGACTTTTTACAGATAATCATGTGTCATCTGGTTTCTAATTAATTAGTCACGTTTTTCTTTCTACCTTAGATACTATTTTGTTTTATGAGCAGGACTTGGACTTTTCCCTTAAACGTGGAATACTTTCATTTTTCCTTATGTGTGTTTCAGTGAAACAACATCAGCTTGTAGTTGGTATAACGCTTTACCCAGAATTGCTAGCTTGTTTAGCTTATTCTCTTTGCTCTAAAGATACTGTAATGGAATATCTGGTAGAAATAGAGCAGAGGTGAACTTTACAGCTGTTAATCTTGGAGACTTGTTTTGTTTCAAACATATTCCGCAGTGAAAAAACTGGGGCTTAGGGTTGCTATTTAGAGCATTAGAAAATTTCTTTGGGAAATTTTTCTAATGAAAATTTGATGAAATATGGAGGAAAACGCATGTTTTATAGAATGAAATGTTACCTTGATTTGTTTTTTATTTTAATTTTAGAAATAAATGTTGGGAAAGCTAACACAACATTCAGTCACCAGCAGCTAGGTGTCTTCCCCGGGCCAGGCATGCTGTGGATGCAGCGCTGAGGGAGATGGGCAAAGCCATGCCTCCCGGAGCTTAGGACTGATGGGGGAGACAGGCAATAAACAAGAAAAAGAATGACTAGACAAGGTAATTGTAGGAATAATACACGTTACCAGGAAACAGAAGGCTGGGTGAGGTGGTCCATAGCGACAGGGCTGAGGAGCTGTTTTCCACAGGGCAGTCACAGCGTCTCTGCTCCTGATTGGCAGGGCGGGCTGTCCTGTCCCGTGGCTGCTCGCTCTCTGGAGGGGTGGCTGGAGGAGCAGATTTTCTCTTTGAAAAGTGACACCCAGGGAGCAGGGAACTTTGCATCTCCCTGTCTTGTGGTTCAGCATCTGGAGGAGCAGAGGGCGGGTGGGGACCGGGAGGATGCTGTTGGTCAGTGGGCGTCTCTTCGAGCGGACTGCTGTCGGAGGCATTGGCGCTTCTGTGCATCCGCTGCCTGTGTGTGGAGTGGCCTCCTTTCTTTTTCCTCTGTACGCTTGGGGGGTTCTTTTTTAAAGCTCATCCTTCAAAATCGTGGTCAAGACAAAATCATTGTCTTCCTCTCTTAGAACCTTCCTCAAGACTCCCCCTCCTCCACTGTGGGATTGACTCCTCTCGTTTTGGGTTAGTATTCCTCCTCTTAATGAGTCTGTTAGCACTGCCATTGGGTTTTTGTTTTGTTGGTTTTCTTGTCTGTCTGTGGCATGGTTTTCTAAGGATAGAAAATGTGACTGTGTCTCCTTGGTATCCTTAGTCCCAACATTGGGAACCTAATACATGTCTGCTGAGTAAATGCATGACTAAAAGATCAGCTTGCGAATCTGTATTCTTACCTGGGTCTTTTCGCCAGGTGCCAGCCCCCTGGAGGCTGGATGGGAATATTGGAACTGCTGGTTAGGAGCTCTGCTTGAACCTGCTTCTGCCACTGGGCACGTACCCCTTTGAGTTCCAGAGGGATTAAACGGAATAATGTATGTGCAAGTCTAGCGTTACCCCGAGTAAACGCTAGTTATTATATGTCCAATTGCCCACAAGACATTTCTCCCTGAATATCTTGTAGGAATCTGAAATTTATCCTATCCAACCAAGTTACCATTTTCCTGAAGTTGAAAGAAGGTAGCGGAGAAGTGGCAAAGGGGCTGATCCGTACCTGCCCTCCCTTTTCTAAGTAGTTGTGCTTGAAACGATGAAGTTTGCCTTGTACACATACTCGCATATAAATATTAACACGTTTTCAACAATAGTTTGTTGATGGTTGATATTACTCTGCATTTTACTTTATTGCAGAGAGCATCCCTAACCATTAGTGTGGGACTATAAAATGGAAGGCCATTGTAGGGCGGAGAGAATCGTGGCTGTGTCATGTTTATGTTTTAATAATTTACACCTATGAATTATGAAGTGGAACAGTTTATTTTAGGAAACAGCATTACACATATCCATTTTTTAATATTTTACTGTTATGTATTGTTCGTATTTTGCAATGCGGTTAATGTAATAAAGTCAGGAGTTGAGTCCTGATTCCTTTATGTCCTGGCGAGTTTTGTTAATTGTTCGTTAATATAATACAAATTTGAGTAAAGACCATAGTATGCCAAGAAATCGGTTTTTGTTTTGTTTTTTAATATATTTTTATTGATTTTGTACAGAGAGGAAGGGAGAGAGATAGAGAGCTAGAAACATCGATGAGAGAGAGTCATCAATCAGCTGCCTCTTGCACACCCCCTACCGGGGATATGCCTGCAACCAAGGTATATGCCTTTGACCGGAATCGAACCCGGGACCTCTCAGTCCCCAAGCTGTTGCTCTATCCATTGAGCCAAACCGGTTTCGGCAGTATGCCAAGAAATTGTATTATTATATACTTAGTTTAGAGTATACATATGTATCAGGAAAGAAATTATAAATTTTTAGGATTAGTTATGTTACTCTAGTTTTAGTGCCTCTGAAATGTTTGGCAATACATAATTTAATTAGCATATTAATATTAAATTATATAAAAATTTAAAAAGATCTCTAGATACAAAAATATTACATTATTTGATACTATTTCACTTAACTCCTAACTTTGAAAATCTTTATATCACATCTTTCTATTCTGAGACTGAATTTATAAAATAGTAGTTTAATAGTCAAGACATTTTCAAGTACTTATCTGTTTGGCATAATTTATTTTTCGTAGATCTAATTTTTTTGAGAAAATTATCTTTTGTATAATTTGCATTTAT